AAAAATAGCCTCGCCAAATGCTCCTGCAAAGGAATCTGGTTGTCAAATTCCTACTGTGATAAGTCCAATGTGTGTCTCCGAATATTTTGCTAAAGCAAAGAAACACAAACTCCAAAGCGAGCCACAAACTTGTGGTGTGTTATATTTTTTACTTTATTAGATACCTTAGATTTGGTTGGTGTCAAGTCAATTGAAATTACCGTCCCAGTTGATCAACATGTTACATCAGTAAGCTTCAAACTTTGTATGGATTATCATGATAACAAGAACTCTGTTTCAGTAAAGATCAATGATAACGAAGGATTCGAATGTAGGAAAATTGAAGAGATATCAAACCATCAAGACGTCGAACTGATCATACCACCCCTAGATCCTGATAAAAAAATAAGGCGTGTCGAAACTGTAAATGCAGGAGAAAGTAAGTAATGTCTTATAGTGACTTACCCTTTTTCTTAGATGTCATTAATTCTCTATTCGTACAGTCCAACTTATTGTCGATGCCTGGGTACTGTTATTACTAATTATTTTTGAGTAAAAATTTTACTCACCAGTTTATTGTTATATTCATGGCAATCTTAAAGTAACAGAGAATTGCATCTTGTATGTATTGCTAAATAATTATGAGGTAACACTTACGTAAGGTGTTTACTTCAGTTTCTAGTAGTTCCTTTTTTATTTTGAAGCGCAGAAACCTAGTGTTTTTGCAGCTAGGTAACTACGCTTACTCTCATATTGCTATGTGATTATATAGTTATACATGTTATAACGGTTAAAAAAGTAATTTCCGTATTCGTGACGTGGTCGTTAGACGACCTTAAACCTTATAAATATTTAATGATTGAAATACGCTGTGTTATGCTATTGTGGGTAGCATAAAAATAAGTCGGAGAGTAGTTAAGAGTGGTTAAAGCAATATTTAATATCAGCCCATGAAGCTACTGACGTTTGGCCTAGCTATTTCAGTAATTTCGAATCATGTTACCGTCCTCATAGTAATTGTACTTTATTGTTCAAGACTTCGAGTGGCACGGCTGACTGTCGATCAACGTGTTGCAAATGAGCTCTATCATTATTCTGAATCTTCAGCTTGTATCATGTGTAGGTTTTCGGAACCACTGATACCATTATTTTAACTAATTTGGTTTTTATTCCAGTTAAGTCCTGAGATGGCTGGGACACGTGTTACGTATGCCCAACGACCGGCTGCCTCGACGTGCGTTGTTCAGTGGTATAGGAGTAGGTTGGAAGAAAGTTAGGGGCGGCCAGACCAAAACATGGCTCAAGTCCATGAAGTCACTGACAAGTGGACTGAGTCATGTCAGTGAGTGTAGACTACCTGGGGACCGCGAGATGATAGCAACCGATGGTTGGAGACCTTGAATGACATGGTTCAAAATCGTTTGCAATGGCGCAGGTGCATCCAGTCTTTGTGTTCTCCCAAATTTTGATCTCCTGATTCCCTCTTGTCTCTTTTTTTTCTCTTCCCAAGTTTATTTCACTGTATTCTACTCTTTAAGTAACATCTCCAAACACTAATCTTTCCGATTACTGCTTATACTCTTATTACCTCTACCACTACGGGATTTGAATCGACCACTGCATCTCTGTGCTAATGTGGTGTGGCAACTTGAACTGATGTACGTACGTACGAAGTTCTACGTTGTTACTGACTGACTGAAAGTCCTTCCACTATATTCATGTAGTTTGGCAAACTAAATCAAGAAAAGTTTGTGCCAATTCCGATTTTATATATATATATATATATATATATATATATATATATATATATATATATATATATATATATATACAAAGCGATACTTAAAATGGCATGGTTGAATACAGCATATAGTTACCAGTACATAAGTGGTCGATCAATTGTTCTTTGACATAATACTACCACTCATGTAATTTTAATTCGCTCCTTATAAATAACTGGTAATTTGATTTTATTCCGAAGTACCAGTATAATATTTTGCATAATGTACCGTGTTAAATCATTATTGATGCATCAGGACTAAACGAAAAAACTTGCTAAGTCATAGTACTTCTGACTACACAGAAAAAGATAGACTTCACACTTACCCGCGCAAGAGCGAGCAACCTTAAAAAATAGGTGAATAGAAAGGTCACCATCATAGTACCAACAGACAAAGGTAGTTATGGACATCAAGAAGGCCAGTGATCTATCAAAAAAAAGTCTATAACAACCATTAGTGAGAAATCCTATTAAAAAATTACACAGCTGAATCGACAGAACTCTAAGCGAACTCGTCAAAGACAAACTACGAAACAAGATCAGTGACGAACAAAGTTCACTACAACAGATCAAAGTTAGGCAAATTAAATACCTCATTACAATGTGTTGTTACGGCTAGACAGTAACATACATTTTGTGCAAAGAACTCTACATGATAACAAAAGACAATCTTGTGATCATCCTATGGATTCCTCAACTTAGTCCCCTGACTGCACAAGTTTCTTATAACTCACCAATCTTTGCTTTAGAACATATCTCTTATTCGACAAACATACCAGTGAAACTAATAGGATTCCCTATTTCACAAATAATTGCAGATAGCGTGATGCAAAGACTACAAAGCACATACTAGTAATCAAACTAAAGATTTAAATACGTAGATCGCATTCGTTAGTTCGGAAATGCTTAGGATTTTATCAGCAACATCTTCAATAATATCAAATTTACAAGTCAAACAGAAGAAAAAGTTAAAACTTTCCTTGAACGTTTGACTCAACAGAAATACAGTCAGTCAGCTACAGCGTAGGGTCAGGCACATATATGCATCGGTCCAAGTTGCCATACCTCATTAATACAACAAGATGGACACCGGATTCATAAAAGTAGTTAATTCAGAGGTGGTAATATATAAAAGAAAGATTGCAATAAGGATATAGTACAGGAAGAAAGAATTAGTTGGTAGAAAGATATGAAGCGATTTTAAACTCTTAGTTTAAGGGAAGACAGAGAGTGTATACATCTACACCATTGTGATCGATTCTGAGCCATATCACCAAGAGTCTCCAACAATCGGTTACGAAAGTTACGCGGACCCCAACCAAGTAGTCTGCATCTACCAACATAACTCAGACTACAGGTTAATGTCTTCAAGCAATGATGCCACGTTTTGGTTTGGCCGCCCCTAATCCTCTTCTAGCTGTCTCTAACACCCGTTAGCATTGCACGTCGTGGTAATCGGTGTTCAGGCATACGTAACACGTGGCCCAACCATCTCAGTCGATGAAGATTAACAACCTCATCAACTGATTTACCATCATTACCTAATACCCTGAGTCTAACCTCACTATTACTTACCCGGTGATCCCAACAGACGCCAGAAATATTTCTAAGGCATCTGTGGTCAAATACTAGTAGCTTACGGGTGTCCTCTACTCTGAAAAGCCATGTTTCGCTGCCGTAAAGTAAGACAGAACGGACTGCCGTGCAGTATACTCGTCCTTTTATTGATAGACGGATATCTCGCCTTCGCCAAAAGTGACGTAAGTTGGCAAAAGCCAAACGAGCTTTTCGAATCCGTGCTGAGATTCCGTCAGACGCCAACACATTAGGGCTGATCAGACTTCCAAGATAAGTGAAGTTGTCAACGCGTTCGAATACTTCACTCCCTATCCTTAGTTCAGGTGTTGACGCAGACCAGTCCTGAAGCAACAACTTGTATTTAGAGGGAGAAGCGCATTCCAAACTTTCTGGCGTTGTTGCTTAGTGCTACCAAAAGATTGCATTTTATCAGCGTCTTCACCAAACAGGACTATGCCGTCTGCGTATTCTAAGTCGATAAGTGGACCTCCTGGAAGGAGATCAATACCCGAGAATGTTATTTCCGTCAGTAGGTCTATGATGAAGTTTAACAAAAATGGAAACAGAAATACAGGAACTTTAGAGACAGGTGTACGGAAAACCAAGCCACACGTATAAAATACTAATCTGCAACAGCACCAAAAAGTCGTTGTGACCGGACGCTATTCAGTTAAATGGAAACTCACTTTAGTGCTCTCATTACACGAAGAATTGAAACTCATCTTTAGTTCATCTCCCTCAAGAATAGCATCACCACCTAGCCAAGGATGTAAGTTTGCATACCTCATATTATTACTGACGAAGCAATTAAAACCTTGCCACACTAGGACAGTATAGTGAGCTCAACTTCTCAAGCTGAATTCGTGAATAAGTCCACTTAGATAGCTTCCGAACAAATTTGCTAAGCACCACTTCCCGCTATCTTACCAGATCATCAGTGCACATCTTCAGAAGTTTATCTGGATTGCAGTACTTAATATACTGTTATCTAATCGGACAACTGTTTTCGAAATTGTACCAGTAAATAATTATTTGACTACAATTTCTTATCCTATTCATATATTAACAGCTTCCATTTATCGTAACACTATCTTGTTCACCAGCCAGCCACTGCACACGAGAAACATGTAAATGGACGCTGATAACACACTATTTCCGATAATATGGGGACAAAATAGTTGAGGTGATAATAGCTGAGCGATTCAGTCTGTCTGCATATGTTGCCAGTTACCAAACAACATGAACCCATAAATGATTAGCGCGCTGGGCTTAATGTAACTATATCCAGCAAGCGGAGCAGTCCAGTGCACATGACAGCAAATCCCCATATTTTTAGGAGTGGGGCGCTCCACATGTTTACTGACCTCATTCTCTTCTTAGTCTTTGAATATCGTGACTGTTTACTTTAATAGGCTGTGTGATGGAAATAAACTTATCCATTTGAAAAGAATACTTCAGATTTTAAACTTGGCTGATGTAAGCTACCACACCTAAGGGTTTATTTCTCGGTCGACTTCGTCATCATTTTAGTTAATTTCAGGTATGACCAACATTCCTCTGTCAGAGATTATTATACCGCAGTGAATTTTATGGAAACAGTTCGATAAGACTGTATACCAAGCCTTCGTAAGTCAAGCTAAGACAATGACCTAAAAAATCATTTGCGTCAGGTGGAATGTTGTATGGTATTTTCATGAAACACTGATTTAAAGACTATTGTGACAATTAAGAAATCCATAGTAATTAAATCAACATATTCATCAATTTTGAGTTTATGACATGAATTTTAGGCTTCTCCAAATAATAAATCATCTTTGACGTGTTCTAAATTCTCAGCACAGCCAGTTTTTGACATGACGAAATCGTCTTCTACTCGCATACCGATGCCCAGAAAGTCTCTCGAAACGCCCAGTTTCGCCAACTCATCTCTGAAGTAAATACCTGGTTCTAAAGGGAACACAACGCCTGCTTCGAAACGTTTTGTACTAGGTATAGTAGGAGTATCATGAATGTCTAAACCAAGATAATGTCCGACATGATGTGGACATATCTTTTGTGCAACCTGAATTTTAAAAATAAAATTTTTGCATAAGGTCAGTTCAAAATCGTAAAATGTATCATGGTCACATATTTCGAGAAAAAGCAGAATAGTTTGCGTTAAAACTGATCTAGAAGTTTGGCTAAAATATACAAGTTATGAAATCTATACTTCAAATTCAAATCGTGTTTGTTATATAGTGGCAACCGTGAAGAAAGTGCTTCTGTGCAGGGCCTAGTAACATAAAATATCTGGTGACGAAATAGACAAGATATTTTCCGGCGAATTTGTGAATCTGAGTTTTAGATTGTCGCCAATGAGTTAAATCACGTCTGTCAGCAATTTGGATCTCATGCTAAGGTGTAGTGCTAAGCCCCACGACTAGGAAAATCTCAATTTGGCTAATTTCATATGATCATACAAGCCCTTTCATAAAAACGTTTACTTGCGATTATTATTAATAATGTCTTGCGTTAAATGAATTACATATTTCGAAACCTTTGGCAAGCATAATAATAGAAATGAACAGTCATGTTCAGCATATTAAGTAAGTCTTTAAACACGTTCCGTACTTGCAGATCCACGTACTCGATCTTAAGTCACACTATATGAGGACCAGTAATACTAACCAGCTCCCAGAGAGAGGTGAAGTGGGGTCAATCAGCTGCAACATAGGACCAGGCACATATATGCATCGGTCTAATTCGCCACACCTCATTAGCACAAGATGAACACCAAATTCATAGAAATAGTCACTTCAATGGTAGTAATATATAAAAGAAAGATTGTGTATAAGGATATAAAATTGGAAGAAAGAATTAGTTCACAGAAAGAAAGATATAAAGCAAAGCGTGTGTACGCCGACGCTACTGTGATCGATTTTAAGCCATGTTACCCAGAGTCTCCAACCATTGGTTGCGATAGTCACTTGGACCTCAAGCAATTAGTCTGCATCTACCAACATGGCTCAGGGTGAAGTGGGTTGTGAACTACCAATTGGAAGTTGTTTTTGTATCGTATAACCACCACTTCATTTACAAAGGATATTCAAAGTGAACGAAGTATGTACATTTGAGAGATCACTTATTACAGGTACATAATGGATTTGGCGCTTAAATGCGTAATATTATGGAAGTTTGTTGTTCATATTTGAAAGGATTTACGCTCGAAACTACATGCGAGCCAATAATTGTTGTTAATCAATGTAAGTGGAGATCAAATAGTTTTATCAGTCTTCATGAAAATGCACATCAAATGATCTTGCAAATTCTTTGCAGCATATATATCTGGTGCCCCTCGTACCAATATTTATGTGTTCAAATAAATAACTCATTTCACTTTACTATGATCTAGCGACTGTAAGAACAGTAAAATTTGGATTTAAACTTCTACTTATTTTTGTTCAATTTATATCAAGTCACAATCTTTAATAGATTGTTGTATAGTAGATCATTTTAAGATCAGCAGCAGATGATATGTGAATATGAAGACAATAATGTCCATAGCAAGAGGAAACTTCGATCAAGTTCAAGGTGCTGGAACAATCGTATGTCAATTAAGTATAAAATCATGGAAATACCGATAATGATACTAATGGTAATATGTAATTATGAAGGAATTTGATTAAGAGATAAGTATCTGTTCAAAAAAAATTTAACTTACATACAACTTGTCCTGGTCTGGGATAATCCCCTCACTTATTAAGTGTCGTCCTATTTCAGACAGCATATGATGATATACATCTTGCAGACTTTGTTCAGGAGAGGCTAAAGATGCACATGAGTTCTGTACATCAACTAATATTTCATGTATAACTTTTTGAGGTGCCGAAAAGTATCCTAATGAATAAACAGATTTTAATATGTAATTACATTGTTTTGGATTTGGCCTAACTGAAACATTCACCAACTATAATGGAGTAAGTAGATACTAATGCACATTTTACTGAGAAGTGAAACTTAATATAAGGCATCGGTTAGAAAGTTAATTGGTGGTAGGAATAAGGCGTTTTTTCTGTCTAGCCCTATATCTCAAATATAAGTGGGATGAGATTGGATAATTTATCAAACTAACACAAGATCACAGATACTTCTTTAAAATAAGAAATCGAAATAACCTGGTACGACCAGTGTCTTACAAAGCTTTGATTATTTGTATGAAAATATCCAGGTGAATGAGTAAGGAGTGTGGTTATGCTGCATCATAAAAACTATAGAAGTTGAGAAAGCGATAAATATTGACGGTATTTACCATAGAATTAAAAGGCGTTTACTAGACAAATAAATTATTAACATTCATTCACTGAATATCAATTATTAATATCAAAGTTCCACATACACACACTCATCTATTTTCAAATTGTGTACTTTTCACACTTATTTGTATGAACTAATGATTCTGTTGTACTTGAATACCTGTTTATTTCGAATTCCAAATATAATACATTCATTTCGAAAATTCCTAGTTAGCATGATGATTCGAATATTTGTGTGTGTGTGTGTGGGCTTTGATACTGCCCGGGTGCCCTGACCGAAGCAGGTAGTTTTCTTAGGGGGCCGCACCCCGAGCCTTTGACCTAAAGGTCTGATCCACAAGGCCGTGGAGCATCGTGAGGAGATGCAGTAACACGGTTGCCGGTGACCAACGATTGTTTCATACGCTATTTGTTTCCGCAGGATACTGCGACCCATGTGCACTATTGGTTTGGGATCCGGTTAAAGCGCCGGACATCCGCTTTTCATCCTCTATTTTCGTAAACAACACCACCACGAGGCAATGAGTAGGACTTCCCTGGCGGAGACTGTATACGCGTGGCCGTGTGGGAGCATTTCGAGAGGGGGGTGGACCCACCCCATTCTCGGCCATACCAGGGCATTTGAGGGCGCATATATATTTGGTGCCTTGTACCAAAATTTATACGTTGAAATAGATAAAAATGATGATTCGAATACCTCTAATTATTATGCTTATGTTATTCGATTTACCAAAGTTAACACTTGAATATCATTGGACAGGCATTTAATGTAGATTTGATTTAAACGTCACATGCTTTTCGGTAATCTTGATTTCGATTATTACTCTGAAGATTTTTGGACAAAAAGTCGTAGTATTTCAAATTTCTAATATAATTTAAACAAATTATCTTTTAACTTGCCGTACTGACCTTACAGGTTTTTAATACTTGTGTGCTAGGAATTACCACTTGGTATAAATGACTAAGATATTTTGAGGCTACATGTTGTGAACGAGGCTGTCAATGGCATGACAATTCGTGAGATCCAGTTAGTTGGAAAAACTTAATTAAATTTGCCTAGCTTTAATTTTTCGCATTTACAAGCTTCAGAATTTTTAAATGTTGAAATTAAGTAAACGAAAACACTTCAACATACCGTTTACTGGCCAAGTTCGAGTAATATCGGACGTATACCCGTTAAAGCGACATCCAGCATCCACCAAAACCAACTCCCCATTCTCAATTCTCATATTGTTTTTCATGTAATGAATGATGTTTGTTCTATTCCCTCCAGCAACAACAGGAGGATACCCGACAGAACAGCCTCGGCTGCGCATTTGGTATTCTATATGACCTTGTAAAGCAGTTTCCGTAATTCCTGGTTGTGTAATTTGCATAGCCGACTTAAGAGACTCGATCGCTGCAATAACCGCGGTTTTAATCTGTTTTATTTCATAATTTGATTTTATAAAGCGAATTCTGTCGATTATATAGTCTGGATTTTCAAAACTAATACTTTTATCGCCAATTTGTCGGGAGAATTCTAAAATCTTTTTCAAAACGAACTTATTTAAGGGGCGCTCAACAAAATTTTTGGATGATAATGGACTATACCAAACACATATGGATTGTACAAATAAAGCTTGATGGTTCAGAAAGTTACTAAATTCGTTCAAAGGATGGGAATTATCAACTCCAGTTGCCAAAGAAGCTTCTGATAACGTCAAAGATGGACCATCCCAGATTTCGGCATGTTTGTTTTGAGTCTCCACGAATAGATGAGTCGACCAATTGGAGCCACTTTGATCGCGATGTTCTGTTTTATCTGTGCAAAACAACAGAACTCCATTAGGTTTACTTAACCCAGTGAAGTAGAAGAAGTTGGAATCTTGGTGAAAAGGGTATGGAACATGGTAAGCCATATACTGTATTTCTGCGGCTGGTATTATAACTATGTGACAAGAAGGCTTATTTACCAGCTTTCCAGTGCAAATGTTCAGATTGTTGACAAAGATTTCACGGCGATTCCTCAATTCTACGAGAGGAACAGAGGAATTATTGTTCAGATAGGATGGCGAAGTGCATAACCATCGAACTGACTTTAAGGCTGAAGACCATATATCAGGAAGTTTTTTTAAAGCAGAAATCATATATCACGGGTTTGTTGGAAATCCATACTGGCAGGTCGGTTAAAAGAAAAGGCACAAAGCGAAAACGAGCTACAACTAAAGAATATACTTTTTGGCTGTTCCTTTTATACGAAATCTTGGAGTTTTCAAAAGACGAATAAGTGGTAGTAGTTACCCCCAGTATTTTCCTGAGGAAAAAATAGCGATATCTAAAACCAAAAGTGAACAAATTAACTCAATCAAGATATTTAATCAAATATGTGTATTCAATTGATTGGTATTAATACCAATCGGAATGAACTACTTAAGTAGTTTATTTGACCAAAAAATTGGGTACTTACGGGTCAATAGATAATGAAGCAAAACTTCGCTTCAAATGAAACCGTTTATAAATACTATGATACTTGAACTTGTAAGTACAAATATGCGGTCAAGATATATATATAGTCGATATTTCAAGACGGTACCGCACAGACTCGAATTCAGGCAGACACTTTATTATAAGTATGGGGATGTTCTAGTTAGCCTTAGGAACCTTTATCTTTGATGATGACAACAGTCGAAATAACATCGCTTCACAATCTTTCCAGTTGAAAACATAAATTTACAACTATCCGTGTTATCGGAAGAATGTGATCCGTTTTGATCATAAATGTTTGGGCTTGTTCGAGTATTTTCAAATGTATTTGCCAAGTGCTCTGTTATAATTGGGATTGGGGAGAGTCTGCTCTATCTGTCGGGTAGGGAAGCCAAACTCTGCCTTCTCGTCGATAGGGTGTAGTCTTCAAAATCAATGAGGGTGAAATGCAGATGTCCGGAGTACCCGTATCTTGCGGGAACTAACAGCATATGAACCTATTGTTAGTTGCCGGACATCACGCGATCGCAATTCTGAAGATTTCCTCAAGGACTTGTGGATTATCTCTCTTTTTGACCTGAGGAGTGACCTGCAAAGGAAACAACCTGCTTCGATTGAGTTACCTAGGGACAACCCTAGCCCTCACACAAATTTAATAAGTACAAGTCGGGAAAACTTTGCTTTATTCAACCATCATTCCCAGGAATTCTACTCAAGGTTATCCAATAATATTCGTCCTCAGTTTCTATCGAGTCTCATCCTATTACCCATTATCCATATTGTGTGCATTCCACTATTTTCTAACCCTTATGGAAGCTCGCCTGTTGTAGAGATCATAACCTATCTAAACTATCTCATGTCACTGGCCCGTCAGAAGCTAAATGGTTCCTCTGAATACGAAGTCTAAATCAGGACTTCTGGTAGCTGCCGGAGGCCCATTCAGCCCAGTCGACAATCCGTGAAACTGATGGAATTCTAGTCAGTTGAACCTGCCAATATCTCAGATGATTAACTGGTTCGCCTGTCTGGTGATATCAACTAGACCTCTGATTAGCCTCGGCTGGTCCATCAAACGAGGCATAAACCCACAAGGAAATCCGACTCTGGAAACCCCATCAATCTTCATGTTCAAATGACATCATCTGCTTCTTCTAAGTATGATGGAAAATCCCGAGTTAGAGAGCCGACTGTGTTGTTCTCAAATTTTGCTTAGAAGCGTCTAAGAAAGCAGTGTCCTTACATCCTGGAGTGTGTCTATATTCAACCGTATATCTCCTGCCCAAAAATCTTCGGGAGACTAGACATCTTCCGATTGCATTTAGATTATTAGCTTACGCCGCAGATTGTTCAAAACTCGGGAAAGAGTGATGCTTAAGGAGCAAGCTGGTCCTCTTCGTTCTTGAAGATGTATTACTCCTATTCCACCCTCTACAGTCAAATTTTAGAACACCACCATACTTTTGCTGCAAACTGTCAATGTACATCTTTGCATCAGGTTGCCTGCGATCTGCTGAATAGGAGAACAAGAGTATCCACGAGTCGTTTTTTAATATTTTGGAAACCTTTTATACCAATACCTCAGGCAGAATCAAGGTACACAAACACATACTGATAGTTGATCAGCACCTGACACTGTGTCGTCGTATGAAAGATTAATGCACAAGACTGACATCTGTTGGTTCTTCAAGACTATTTCGTTGAGATCTTAAAAGAAATGAGACACAGTGACTTGAAAAGTTATTAGACATTCCTCTGAACGGAGGCCAGTGAATGTCGTACCCGAATTTTCTTCGACATTTGATCGAAACTCCCTTAACAATTAAAATCTTTTTTTAACTAGACTGCTTCCTTCAGTATTTCTATAACTATTTCGTTTCGGTTCCATAGACCGATTTTCATTCATTTTTCTTCTTTTTTATCACACTTTCCTTCTTTTATTTATCTTTTCACGCTATTATTTTATTATGTGGAATTCTTTTTTTTACCAACATTTATGTGTTTAGATAAATAGATGAAATATCAACGACCCTGGGATGCAAGTCAACAATTTTGGAAGCACTGTCTATTCACAAAGCAATGAACAATAAAAAAAATAAGTTACGGTGGAATAATGGTGTCAGTATGACAAATTATACTTTACATGCTACTTCATTACTTGTAGTAAAGAGAAGAGGTTAGGACTATGCATTAAGTATTGAGCGATTGGTAAGAATCATGATTACAACATGGTATGGTTTCGTAAACGACTGACATCAGTTATGATGCTAAAATGTTGGGGTTGGGTGGTTGATGTTAAACTAGAATCACGTTTCAGTATTACAAATTAGGTATGAGATACTTAAGCTAATTTCAGATAAAATGCAAGCACGTTTTATCACCATTTTGTTTTCAAATAAATTGCGATTAAGATACAGAGTCAGAGTGTGGAGTGGGAGAATACTCTTTAGTAATACTAGAGTTGGTTAGCTGGCCAGTTTGAGAAGAAGAGCTACAGGTAAAATTTTAGAGCTTCATTTAACCCAATGGAGTAATCCGTGAATAAGCGAACGCAATCGTGGGGTTGGAATGGCCAGATAACCAACTTCTATAGCTGGGTTCCGTTAAGTTGGAAGAGAAACCTTATCCATTCTTTATGCTATCGCATACATCACATATGCAGTACGTAATGCATTTACAAAGAACTCGCATTCCTTAGGAAGATTTTGACGGAAAATGGTTTTCGCAGAACGGTTTATAGAAAAGAATATTAATAGAAGTAGTCGCGAGAAGAATTCTAGTTGTTCCGTTCCAAAGAAAAACCTTTATATAAGTCTGGAATTTAAAGGTGATCGAACATCAGACGTAATCAAAAATCGTCTAACAACAAGTATTAGAAGAACATTTAACGCGGCAAAACTGCGAATATCTTTCACTAGTAGAAATTTATTTTCTGTATCCATAAAAGATAAGCTTCCGCGTCTGGTCGCCTCCATGTGCCTCTGCCAGTTCAAATGCTGTTGTGGAGCAAGGTACATTGGCCGTAGCCAGCGCTCGCTTTCAACTCGGATACGAGAACATATCCTAGCTTGATTCTATGAGGGTGAAAGGAAAGCTGTTAGGAGTAAAGACGTCATTAAGACATTACGATATGTTTTGAGATTATTTGGCTATAATAGAGCCTTTCTACCGAACGATTATCGCATACGTGCTCCGAGTAATGACATGGCGATGAGTATAAAATATTATTGTCATGCTTCCTTTTGAGAAATCAAGAAACTACGAGTCTTCGAAATGTTATTTACGCATTACGGTTCCCCTTTACTTACTTTAGTAGCATCAGTCGCTTAGAACCACGGCATTGGGGAAATTATTTCCTAAATCCTGTCAGATGAATTTGAGAAGACAATACTGCTCGTAGCTAGATGGTTAAATGTGGTGGAACGTACCTTTGGTAAGTTTGGAAAGGAAACACTGTTAATTTTCTTTGCTGCAAAGAAATTTCACAAGTTGGTATTTGGAATTCAGTTCACGCTTCCAGCTGACTATGAGCCAGTGCTGGCCGTATTCGGGTCCGACAAGAGGATTCCGGTATATACAGCAAACTGTCTGCTACAATGAAGAATCAAACTACTGGGTTAAGAACGCAAGATTAAGTATTAGCACACCAGTGATTTTGAACTAGCTCATGCATTTTTAGACTGACTTATTAACAAATAAAACTTGAAGATAATCAGGTGGTAGGAATTTAGGTGTAAACAGTGTTGGAATACGAAGCTGATAGTCTGCTAGTTACTCTCAAATTATGAAAGACGACATAAAGGATGTTAAGATATTAGAAGATAGGAGTTGTATTCTCACCGAGTACCCAAACCGTCGTTTTCTATGCCTGTTGATAATACAAACATCCCGGATTTAGATATCTGTTCAAATGTGATTCTACAGCGTATAATGAATCGAATTGGATTGGAAATACTTTTTATCGCTTTGCACATTAGCGTTTCATATATTTCATGATTCCAAGCATGAGTAATGGTCAAACTCCTGCAGGAACACCTAGCACGTGTATAACGCTCGTCTAATTTTATGTGATGAGTGCATTGCATCATCCATGATATTGTCTTTTCAAGTATGTTTTAAGCCCAAGGTAGGTTGTGCAGATTAGTTTCCCGAGTAATGTCCTTTCACTGTCTCACAATAGTTGTTTCTTCTTAAGCTCCACCACCATTTTGAAAATTGGGCATTCTGGGGATTTTCTTTTATTGCTGTATATTTCACCCTAGTATCACGAAGGTCGGGGTAATCATATTCTTCTGGAGTACCTCTTCTGTACCCAGATCCTATGTGACTGTGCCATAATCATCAATCTTTATTAACACTTTTACACATAGCTGTACCCGATATGTGCACTATACCTTTATCAGATGTTATATTCAATAGCGATGGGAAAACTTTTCTTGTTATTCCTCCGGCTTTTCTGCCAGATGGTGACAAAGCTGTTGAATCTATTTCCCTTCACAACACAACTCTTACCTTAGCCAATCCTACGAGTATTTATGAAACTACCAATTGCGATTTATACTCTAACCTGCTTCACAATGATAACTCTGAGTTTCTTATTCTTTCGTTCAATGCCCGCTCTCTGTCCAATAAAATTATTCATTTTAAAACTTTTTTATTCCCTGTAAGTCCAACCAATGTGCTTATTACGGAAACGTAGTGCAATTAATCTATATCCGATCACGCTTTGAATGAAGATAACTACGTTTTCTTCAGAACCGATAGATGTTATGGATTAGGAAGTGGTACAATTATATATGTCCGTTCAAACATTCAGGCGTGCAAATTTGAGGATAAATCTCTTAATGCTATAGACGACTCCACTTGTGATGCTGTAAACTGTGGATCTCAAAATTATCTACTGGTGGGATGCATATACAGACCATCTCATGCGGATACTAAGTTTGACAGATTACTAACAAACATATTTTTCATTGCTTCTCAACAACCACATCCTTTTAAAATCATCGGAGGTCCTTTTAATTTGCCAAAAGTTACATGGGGTTCGACTCTGGTACCATTTCAGTACAACAAGCTAGTTGAAACAATAGAAATTTGTGGATGGGTTCAACAGGTTCGAAAACCAACGAGAAGGAATAATATACTTGATGT